AACTCCAATTTCATTGATAAACCCCTCCTCCCGTATTCTTCCAGCGAAATTATTTGAATAATGCATTGCAGTGCTATTGTTGCGTTAAAGACATTCAACTTTTTTAGTCAAGTTATTCATCGATTTATACTGTGAATTTGTGTAAACGTTTGGTACATTTGTTGGAAATTTATATCGAGAAACAGTTCACGATTTGATGAAGGAATCAATGGAAACGGTAAATTTTAGTTCAATTAATAGAAATCACCATGAATATTAATAGAAATCAAGAAAATTCAGGAAAATACCCATTTTTTAATTGAACATTCAAATAAATTGAAGGATTATTGTCTTTCTGGTGATCAACTCCAATTTCATTGATAAACCCCTCCTCCCGTATTCTTCCAGCGAAATTATTTGAATAATGCATTGCAGTGCTATTGTTGCGTTAAAGACATTCAACTTTTTTTAGTCAAGTTATTCATCGATTTTTACTGTGAATTTGTGTAAACGTTTGGTACATTTGTTGGAAATTTATATCGAGAGACAGTTCACGATTTGATGAAGGAATCGATGGAAACGGTAAATTTTAGTTCAATTAATAGAAATCACCATGAACATTAATAGAAATCAAGAAAATTCAGGAAAATACCCATTTTTTAATTGAAAATTCAAATAAATTGAAGGATTATTGTCTTTCTGGTGATCAACTCCAATTTCATTGATAAACCTCTCCTCCCGTATTCTTCCAGCGAAATTATTTGAATAATGCATTGCAGTGCTGTTGTTGCATTAAAGACATTCAACATTTTTTAGTCAAATTACTTTCGTTATTCATCGATTTATACTGCGAACAGTGTTGGTAGTTGATAGAGTAGTCGACTTGGGTTAAAATTTTTCTAAACCTAAAGAATACAAATCCCTTCAACAGCTGCCAAAAAAAAAATTTTACCGCGTATTTCCGCTTTCATTCCGAATAACCATGAAATAATAAAAAAATACAAAACAATAGTTCATCTTATTTTGGAGTAGTCAACTTGGGTTAAAATTTTTCTAAACCTAAAGAATACAAATTCCTTCAACAGCTGCAAAAATCATTTTTTACCGACTATTTCCGCTTTCATTCCGAATAACCATGAAATAATAAAAAAAATACAAAACAATAGTTCATCTTATTTTGGAGTAGTCAACTTGGGTTTAAATTTTTCTAAACCTGAAGAATATAAATCCCTTCAACAGCTGCAAAAATAATTTTTTACCGCGTATTTCCGCTTTCATTCCGAATAACCATGAAATAATAAAAAAATACTAAACAATAGTTCATCTTATTTTGGAATACTCAACTCGGGTTGAAATTTTTCTAAACCTGAAGAATAAAAATCCCTTCAACAGCTGCAAAAAAAAATGAAAAAAATTTTTTTTTTTAATTTTTTAAAATAATTTTGTACCGAGTATTTCCGTTTTCATTCCGAATAACCATGAAATAATAAAAAAAATACAAAACAATATTTCATCTTATTTTGGAGTAGTCAACTTGGGTTGAAATTTTTCTAAACCTAAAGAATACAAATCCCTTCAACAGCTGCAAAAAAAATGAAAAAAATTTTTTTTTTAAATTTTTTAAAATAATTTTGTACCGAGTATTTCCGCTTTCATTCCGAATAACCATGAAGTAATAAAAAAAATACAAAACAAAATTGAATAAAATGAAAAACAATAAAATAAAAACCGTAAAATCATCACGACCCCATTACTCTCCTCAATTTTACCTGCGACTACAAATTTCCATGACGCTCTCGCAGCTCCTGCTCTGAAATAGCGACAATTCCCAGTGGTCAATGCGCAGGTGAGCGCAGGTGCAGTGCCAACTGTGTCTGCAAAGTCCACCCACGATATCACCCTTTCTATCGAACCGCGTGGCCGAAGGCCCACTGTCACACATCCTCTAGCATCCCCCACCGAAATTCGCCTATTTACCGAATCACCGACACAAGCACAACCGCTCTATTCACTGGAAATATTTCCCGCTCGTTATCAGCACCATCTCAGGGGCAATAATTGGACTAATTAGCGCCGTTTAATCCCCGAATCCTCTTATTATGATTACGCTCGCGAATAATACGATCGAAACGCATCGGTCGCGGGGGCTCACTCGGCGGTATATGTATACCGTTGCGACGGTGGCAACCAACTGACTGCACTCGGTCTCCTGCCAGCAGCGCCACGCGGCGCCGCCGGCTCATCGCAGGTACATGCATTCCGGGTATGAAGACCCACGTATTGGGAGGGCACAATGAACGATGACCTTTGGGTTTTAAATACCTTCATCATGATTTTTTTGACGTTTCGACTCGCAAGTAGGAGAGGTTGGGGTAAAGCGGACACTTTTGACTTTTTTTTTAATGTTAATGAGGGGTTGAAATGTTGAGAAAATTTAATAATTTTTTTCTTCAATACAAAGAACAATTCTTTCCCTCTGTGGCATTTGTTTCTGTTTTTTTTTATTATTTAAAGTGCACAATTTTTAATTAAATTATTTACACTGTCGTTGGGCTATTGTAGTTTCAGAAATTGTTCGAATTTTGCATAATTAATGTCCTGTTTGCATTTAGTTTCTGTACATGGTTACTGTTGCAGTTATACTTTTATATTACACTCCTTCAAATTTGTTTCTGAGTTATGAATCATTTTTGAAAAGTCTAGTGTCCACTCTACCCCACTCTCCGCTATTGTAAATTTTTGCTGCGTTTTTTTACGGTACTTCCGGTGCACGCTGGAAGAAAATTTGATCTGTCGACAGATTATAGGGTCCTCTGAAGAGATCTTTTGTCGTGTTGAATCAATTTACTTGTGGACGAAAAGACAGTTTCCACCAGAACATGATAATTTTTGTTGTGTTAATTGTTCTCGTGAGACATTTATGTCTTTCGGGTAAATACATTCGTTCTACAGAGAATTTTATGAGGCTCCGGTTTTATCGAGTGAATGCTATTGAGTAGTGTATATCTTTGTCCAATAAACACTTATAATTTCCGTGGAACGAATGATAATTTCAAGAGGAAACTACAATTTTCTTGCCGATAACTGTGTTATTGGCAAAACTAAATAATTTCGAGGGGACAATTTCTTTTGGGAAATAAATATTCTTTCCTCGTCAATGTATTCTTTCTATGGTATAAATCTGTGGAGTTCTCTCAGATTTTTTCCTCACAACAGTTCGAATTCTTCTAGGGATATTTCTGATGATCACGACGAAAATTTAATGTTTGTGAAATATGTTGAAATTTCCCGCAGGTAAATCTGTTCCACTTCATCAAATATTCTCGCGTGGACCATAGTGTTCTTCGGTAGAACTATTTTTTTTCTCAATGTGCACTTTGAATTTTTTTTTGCATAGATTTTTTCATCAGATTGTGATTTTTCAATTACAAAATTCATTGAATTTTCAGTGAAATTTTAAATTTTATGATTTTTTCCACGTCAAATCGAATTCGAAATCTCTCTCCAAAAATTGCGTACTTAATTGAGTAATCAATTATAATTGATCATAACTGATTACTTCCTTAATTACAATTAATTATAATCAATTAATTATAATGAGTCGTCCACGAAATTCCAATTTTTTCCAATATTGAGAACCAGAGATTCCACTTGAGCTTTACCCCCGACCATTGTTTTGATTTTGGCTCATCATTTTTAACGCTCCCTAAACTTCTTTTTCTTCAATGATGAAAAAATGTTGAACGTTCAACGAATGGTCATCATTCATTTCCAAAAAACGACATTTGCTGGAAAATGTCTTTTAAAAAATACTGACGACCACTCCAGTGAATGGGAAGGCCATCTGTTATCGATTCCCGGAACAGAGGCGAATAGATCACCAGGTAAAAATGTTCACCTTGCCAGTGCTCCCAATGGTGTAGCGTCCCGGTAAAACTCTTAAATGCCCGCAAGGCTGTCGCTTCCAGTGAAAGTCTGCTGGCGATTATGCAACGCAATTTCGAGAAGATTTCTAAGGTGCCGGACCTTGGGGCAATTGTTAAGCGGCTAACGACTCGGATAATCTCCGCGTGCCCACCCTATCCTTGACCATCGGCTGTTGCACAACACGGCTTGCTCGAGCCGCCTGCAATCGATGCTAATAATTCGGGATTGTACACAACACGGACGAAAAAAATTAATAGAAAAACCTCTCGAATTCGTTGGAAAATTCTATTGAATTTCTACTGAACTGTTCCATTAGTTTTTGGCCGATTCTATTAAAATGTTCAATAGAAAATATTCAGCAGAAAAAGTCAATAGAATTCAACTTTTCTATATAACTCATTCTATTGAGATATTTTCTATAGAATTCCCTCGGCTCAAATTTTCCAAGTTTTTTCGTTTGATTTTCTTGATGAGAAGAAAAGTAAAATAGAATGAAAAAAACTTGGACAATTTGCACGGAGAGAAATGTTCAGTAATTACGGAACTCGAAGTTCGCTCACCGATTACGGAATCGACTCAGAAAATTTAAGTGACGGTATCGTAATTTTTCACAGGAGATTCGGATAAAAATTACGGAGCGCTCTGGAAAAAGTCTGGGAGAGCTCCGTAAAATTTCCTACAACCACATTTCGCTCCGGAATTACGGAAAGGATACGTAATTTTTATTGAATATTTCTCTCCGTGAGTCGAGCAAATTCTATAGAAAATATATGAAAAGAATAAGTTATATAGAAAAATCAAATTCTGTTGACTTTTTGTATTGAATGTTTTCTATTGAACATGTCAATAGAATCCGCCAAAAACTAATACAAAGTTTAATAGAAATTCACTAGAATTTTCTAACGCATTCGATAGGTTTTTCTATTCAATTTTTCCGTGCGTGAAATGCACCGGACGTGTGAACGCTCTGGAAAAATCCCGTGACAGCTCCGTAAAATTTCCTACAACCACATTTCGCTCCGCAATTACGGAAAGGATACGTAATTTTTATTGAATATTTCTCTCCGTGAGTCGAGCAAATTCTATAGAAAATATATGAAAAGAATAAGTTATATAGAAAAATCAAATTCTGTTGACTTTTTGTATTGAATGTTTTCTATTGAACATGTCAATAGAATCAGCCAAAAACTAATACAAAGTTTAATAGAAATTCAACAGAATTTTCTAACGAATTCGAGAGGTTTTTCTATTAAATTTTTTCGGGCGTGAAATGCACCGGACGTGTTAGAACGGGCTAATTCGATTCGAGGGGTATGACAATACGCACGCGCGCGGAGCTTCCGAAGGATGTCTTTATTGAAGATGATGGAATTATCGGGGGGAGGGAAGATAGAGGGGTTGAGGGTGTGGAGAGCAAATCGATAGAGTTGAGAGATATATTTCCGTAAGAGACACGAGAGAAAAAACATGATAAAATTAGTGGCTGCACGGGGAGAAATAACCAATAGAAATTACGTACTTATTCCGTAATTCCGAAGCGACATGTGGTTGTAGGAAATTTTACGGAACTGTTGCGTAATTTTTACCTGAATCTGCTGTGAAAAATTACGATACCGTCACTTACATTTTCTGAGTCGATTCCGTAATCGGTGAGCAAAAAAAATACGGGAAANCAAAGTTTAATAGAAATTCACTAGAATTTTCTAACGCATTCGATAGGTTTTTCTATTCAATTTTTCCGTGCGTGAAATGCACCGGACGTGTGAACGCTCTGGAAAAATCCCGTGACAGCTCCGTAAAATTTCCTACAACCACATTTCGCTCCGCAATTACGGAAAGGATACGTAATTTTTATTGAATATTTCTCTCCGTGAGTCGAGCAAATTCTATAGAAAATATATGAAAAGAATAAGTTATATAGAAAAATCAAATTCTGTTGACTTTTTGTATTGAATGTTTTCTATTGAACATGTCAATAGAATCAGCCAAAAACTAATACAAAGTTTAATAGAAATTCAACAGAATTTTCTAACGAATTCGAGAGGTTTTTCTATTAAATTTTTTCGGGCGTGAAATGCACCGGACGTGTTAGAACGGGCTAATTCGATTCGAGGGGTATGACAATACGCACGCGCGCGGAGCTTCCGAAGGATGTCTTTATTGAAGATGATGGAATTATCGGGGGGAGGGAAGATAGAGGGGTTGAGGGTGTGGAGAGCAAATCGATAGAGTTGAGAGATATATTTCCGTAAGAGACACGAGAGAAAAAACATGATAAAATTAGTGGCTGCACGGGGAGAAATAACCAATAGAAATTACGTACTTATTCCGTAATTCCGAAGCGACATGTGGTTGTAGGAAATTTTACGGAACTGTTGCGTAATTTTTACCTGAATCTGCTGTGAAAAATTACGATACCGTCACTTACATTTTCTGAGTCGATTCCGTAATCGGTGAGCAAAAAAAATACGGGAAACTGCCAATTTGATTGAATATATTCTTTATTTTTAGTTATCAAGTATTCAAAACCCTCGATTGAACTTAAACCATGCAAAAATATTCCTATTGACTCATGAATTTTCCTTGAAATGAATGTCATCTCTCGAAATTCCAGAAGATTGCTAGATGGCTTGAGAGTGCGGAAAGCAAATCGATAGAGTTGAAAGATGAATTTCCATAAGAAATGCGAGAGAAAAAAAAATGATAAAATTATTGGCTGAAATTTCCAGTAGTTGAAAATTTTCATCAAGCAACAGTTCTACTGAAGTTTCTCCGAATGTTATCATTGCAAATTCACAATTTTATCATCAAATCAGTGAAAATTGTCAATTATTTCGTTAAACTATTTCCCATTTGATTCAAACTATTAATTAACAAATAATTTCTTATTTGCTTCAAACAATAAACTAACAAATAATTCTTATTTAATCCAAACAGTTATTGTTGC